CACCATATGGCTGTGTGAGTATAAATATAAAAATAAATAAAAGCTTAGAGATGGTATTTTACATGGTGGTAGGCAAAATTGTACCAAAGCTAGAAATAAAAGTGGGGAAAAAAAGGAATTGTAATGAAGTGATAATAAATATGGCATCAACACCAAAAAAAATTAGATCTATTTACGCGGTAAAATTGTAGGACACGCTATGATACTTGTTTTGACACCATAGTTTTGTTATGATCTTGTAAGACCATCAGATTGTCATCTACATTTAGCATTGTGACTAAATAACAAACATAGACTAATTTGACTTGTGAATGAATAGGCATGTTGATGTTAATATGTTTGTTATTACTAACAAATATAGGCTAATTTAACTATATGCACAAAAAGGTGGAATGTTTAAGGCAAACATAATTAAAGCCATTACAACTTATCAAATACAAAACAAACAACAAGGAAAAGACATGCAATATAATAAAAAACAAAATAAGAAGGAAGAAAACTAAAATAGGAAACTCCCTCCATTTGCTTTCACAAATAAATCAAGTGGGGCAATATGGCAAGCAGTTTGGGCCACCTAACAGAGACAGAATTCTGCAATATTAGTTAAGTATATTTACAATGACTAGTTATAGCATTGACAACCTGATAAAATGAATACAATAGAATAAGAGTTTCTCCACATTTCTTCATGGTATTAAAAACTCGTTCGGGTCACCTGCATCGCTAGGCGTCAACGGCACCTTCGATTTCCTATGTTTCATCGTCACCCTGTGACGGCATTAGGGTGTCGATCGCCTGCGCTTCGTCTACTTCGAACAACATCACTCTCATCCTGCGATGACGACTTCATCTGTATCGTTCGAACGAATCTACACTGACCTCAGCTATGTCTGCTTCGAAAGACATTTTAGTCTTCTTCCTGTGACGACATCTTCGTCTGTTTCGGTCGAACGAATCTACTTCATCTTCATTTGTCTAAGAATTTGTCTTCATCTGCTATGACTCCTTGAATGGTATCATCCTAGCTCTCCTTCAGCAGTAAGAATCCTCTCTACAGCAGTCAAAATCCTCCCTATGGCAGTCTGAATCCCTTCAGCCAGCCTGCAATCCCTCCTTTGTTTCCTCCTCCAAGTGTTAGAGCCTCACCAATAGCCATCTAGCAACGGAATCCTTCCTGTAACCCCCATAATCCCTCCAGCCAGCATGCAGGCCCTTCTATATTGTTTATCATAGATGTTGGACACCTACAATTGTAGTTCACTATTCCTAAAGAAAGTAGCAACCAAGCACCCTATCCAACTCTAAATGTGCATAGGGTTTATGACCAAATACAGAATGAAGACGTCTAGTTCTACTCTAGAGGTTAGTTACGAATCAAAGACTAAGAACTTTGTCAAAACAACTCTTGAACTTTCAACCTTTATAACAAAATATAAACTCAATGATCATAACTTCCTTCAATGGTCTCAACCTGTGTTTATAAACATATGTGAAAAAAAGGAGCAACTCTCACAGGAGATGACACAATTCTTGAACTCATTGATCCTTATCATCACTCATGGATTATCCATGATCAAATGATCGTATCTTGGTTGATCAATTGTATGACAACAAAAATTGAAATAAATTTCTTGTTTTATAGAATAACACATTAGAATTGGGAAGTAGCTCATAAGACTTATTATAATACCAAAAACACTACATAATTGTTTGAGATTGAGACAAAACTGCATGAGTTCCGACAAGAAGAGTTGGATATTACTCAATATTTCATCACATTATCAAAATATTGATTATAGTTAAATATATATATGATACATAGGTATGGAAGTGCCCTGAAGATACTATGATGTATAAAATAATAATGGATTAGAAAATAATGATCAAATTCTTATTGGGTCTAAATAAAAAACTTAGATGATATCAGAGGAAGAATCATAGGGATGAAGCCTATCCCTACCGCCAGGGAAGCCTTTGCTGGAATTAGAAGAGAAGAAAGTAGGAATAAGCTCGTGATGATAGTAAGTGTGGGTTCATCTAGCACTGAAAGCTCTACTTTGTACACACACAACTCCTCCCATGATTTAAAGCCAGAGAAGAATCGTCCCTTATGTGAACATTGCAAAAAACTTGGTCACTCAAAGGACAAGTGTTAGAAACTAGGGTTTTAAATAAGCCGAGCTTGAGCGAGCTCAGGTTTGGCACATGCTCAGCACATTCGAAATTAATTTTGCTTTGAAATTGGCATCGTGTTAAGCTTGTTCAAAATTAATTATGTTTGAAATTGGCTCATACTTGAAATTGCTCATGAAGAGTATATTCGTGTTCGACTCAATTTACATATTTTTAATCGTGTTCAGTTCGAAATTGGCTTGTTTAAATTAATTAAAAATAGATGTGGGGTGTTGGATTCGAACCTGCACTATTCTCATGCAATAAAAAACACAGAACCACATGAATACAAAAGTTATCATGTACGTTGTTGGACCCTATCTTGCAAAGAATGGTATCGACCATGTGAGTTTATGGGTTGAAACTCCACAACAAAATGGGATAACTGAGAGAAAGAATAAACATCTCGAGCTATCTAGATCTATCATGTTCTCTCACAATGTTCCAAAAGTTTTATGGAGATAAGTAGTGCTCACAACCACTTACCTCATTAATAGAATTTCAAGCATGATCCATGGATATAAAGCCCATCTTGATGTTTTGATGGAAATATACCCTCATGTCAAAGCCTTCACATTAGTTCTTCCTTTAAAAATATTTGAATTATCTCTTTTGTTCACATTCACCAACCAAACTGCACAAAGTTTGACCCAAAATCTATGAAATGTATCTTCATTATTTATGCTTCTAACAAAAAAAGGTATAAATATTATTCTCCCATTACAAAAAAAAATGTAACTCCATGGATGTTACTTTCATTGAAAAATAATTTTAATACCACAAATCTAAAGTTCAGAAGGAAAATCTAGGTGAATAATAGATTTGAGACACTACTATAAATACCCACACTAATCTAGAGTCATCTTAATCTATTCTACTTCCCTCTAACCATCCTTTCTCTCAAGTTCCACCAATTGAGGATATCCAACATGAGATTGACAACACAGAAATCCACAAAGAACTTTGTCCATAAGCTAGGAAAAAATCTACTAAATAGGATAAAGATAATATGCAACCATATGATTGTTCACAACCAAATCTGAATTCACACAACTATAAAGCTCCAAGTGATGTCAAATTCAGTTGAGAAGATAAAAAACATTGCACAGGTTATCCTATACAAGAGTAAATTGCCTATGGGAGGTTATCAACTTATAAAGCTTGAGTATCTAATATTGATGGTGTCTAGATACCAAAGTCTATTGTTAAAGCACTTCAAAGTCCATAATATAAAAAAACAGTCGAAGAGGAGATCCAAACACTTGATTTAAATGGCACATGGATATTTACAAAACTTCCTTCATATAAAAGATTTGTTGGGTGCAAAAAGATGTTTAATGTCAAGTACAAAACAGATGAGAACATTGAAAGGTTCAATGCACTTTATCGATATTCCAACACATCTTCAAGTTGTAGATGTTTTACAAAATCCCTACCTCCAAGAAACTTCAATCATTTTGTCTCTATTAGGTGGCCCAGACCACCTACCATATGGGCCCCACAAAATAAATTTGTGGAAGCTATTGGAGGAAGTTTCCTATTTTAACTTTATTCCTTATTATGTTTCTTATTATACTATATGTCATTTATGTATTGTTTATTTTGTATTTGGTAAGTTGTAACAGTCTTAATTCTATTTGCCCTAGACATCTCCTATATAACTAAGGAAAGATTGTAATTTGAATAATATGGAATAAGAGAATATAGTTTCTCCACTTTTCTTTAGATATTATTGGCAAACTTGAATGAAAGTCTACCACCTCAAATTTTTTGGATGTAAAATATTCTCACCATCCAACTCAAGGATGAAAATGGTCCTTAATATAATAGGGCCATGCAAATACAATAAAATGGAATGCAAGGTCCGCAAGATATCAAATGAAATTTTTTTACAGGATAGCCTTTACAATTTGAGCCAAGCTCGATATTAAAACATCAAAGATGGGCATAACTAGCAGCGCTATGTAATGCATAGAGGGATGTTGCATAATTCAACTGCTTGTAATAAAAGATTTTAATGGGAAGTTGAATGATTTAACACGAACACACACAAACAAACCAAAATGTGGGACTCTAACATAGGCAGCGTTAAAGTGAGCTAAATGTCACCTCCCAAAAGAGCCCTTATGGGTAGTGGGCAGCCCAGGACTTAAATACTGTTTTTCGGCCGATGTGGGACTATTTGTCCATGACATTCTCCTCCACCCAATCACGTGACCCCCTCGTCACGGATCGACTCCACCGGGGGTCCCACTGGACCATGGAGAGTCCACACAGCTGACAGATAATAGTCTGCTCTGATACCACTTGTCACCTCCCAAAAGAGCCCTTATGGGTGGTGGGCAGCCCAGGACTTAAATACTGTTTTTCGGCCCTACACCTAGCAGATGTGGGACTATTTGTCCATGACATAAAGCTCAGACAAAATATTTTGCAAGCATAACATGGATTGTAAGAGAAGCTGTTTGGCATTGTTTACACCTTTACGCCTTGGCTGAGGACATTTCTAAAAGTAGGATTTTGCAATACTAAAATTTAAGTTGTAATAATTCTCACTTTGAATAAATCATAAACTCCTAATCACAATTCAATACACCTTTTCAAAATCTTTGCTCCAAGGAAGCCTTAAACATAATCAACTTATGAGCAATAATTAATGAATCTGTTAAAACAAAACGCAAGCATCCCCAAATAGAGGTCAGGACCCTTATAGGCTATATTGTGCCAATTCGCTCCCTTTCTAAATTATTTAAATCAAAATATACCCAGATATTTAACACTTGAGCCGAAAAAAACCACAAAATAACAACTTTAATGCGTGCATTTACCTGATCGAGTAAAAAATCGAACGAGTAACTTAAAGGAATGCTTATCACGTGTCTCTTCCAGATCATATAGTGAATGTGCGAGAACACTTGGAGTGTCGAGTACGCAAATGATATAACGTTCACTGAAAAACAATACCTGCAACCCCAAAAAATATACAAATAAATAAACAAACATTACCGCTTATATTGGGATTGAATTCAATCTATATATTCTTAAAACAAAAAAGCCGTCAACTGAGACATATGCTTTTGTTATTAGAATGTTTTTAAAAAAATAATAATCTTGATTCCATTAAAGACTTGCACTTTAATTAAGTCTGTAACTATTTTCATGCATCCAGAACCGATCTCTCTAATAGCAACACACATTAAAATTTCTATTTCCCTAATGAATCTGTCCCCAACATTCATGTTGTCCTCACAGAATAATTTCTCCAATGCCCAAACCATAAACAAACCTGTATTCCTGGTAACGGTCGAAATAGTCGCCGGCCCACCCACTAGTCTTGTCGGCGGCCATCACGGAGATAGAGACCAGACATAGAGCCACTTCCAAAACCCTAAGAACAACTTCGGCTCTCCATATTTTAGCCCTCCGTACAACTCCGGATTCCACTCTAAACACCTTTCCTCTTCCACCACCCACCGCTTCCGCCATCCGATTCGCCGCCGCCGGCACCTCCACCGACACCC